CCAACCTCGCGGAGAAAGTGAACGACGTGCCCGCGATACTTGTACTTCTGCCCTCGCACAAGCATAATATTCACGTGGACGTGGACGCGAGCAATCAACGACTCTTCAGTGGGCGTAAGCTGGGGCAATCGGGCCGGCACAGGGCCAAAGTCGAGCTGATTATCCGCGGAGAAGAAATACGGCTCCCCAGAGCGGCGTTTCGCATCCTTTCGATAGCAACGCCCACAGATGCCGTCAGTATCGATCTTCATCTGAAACCAACTCTCTTGGCATCTACTGCAATATTCCATCTGATCATTGTCCAGCATGGTCCAGAACTCGCGGAGGGTGGCCTTATCGCGGTCAGTCAATGCGGGAGCAAGGTCGCGGTCAGTCAAGGCGGGAGCATCAAGACCGCCATTCCACACTGGATATTGTGCATGAAATACAGCTGATTCTTCAGGTGGGATTATCACCGGACTCCGAACACGTCGTGGCGGTATCGATGACCGACTTTGCCTTCGAGATTTTCGTGGCCGCCCTCCTGTACCAGGGGCAGGTCCACGGCGACCACGCCTTGACTGTGCGACAGGCTGCCGTGAGCGACGGCGAAGAGGGCTCTCATCCACGCAATCGTTGTTGCCGTCCTCGTCCTCGTCCCCCTGGGTCGGAATCAGAGCCCACCCCTAATTGCTCGAGGTATCTCCGTGGTCGAGCAGGTGAAAGCAGCAAGTTGAAATAGTCCTCGGCGTCAATATCAGATTCAGAGAACTGCCCCCCGCCCTCCCCTTCCCCGGTTATCTCATCTCTATGTAGGTGCCCACTCGGCTGTCGGACTTGACTCTCATCTACGATTTGTTAGCCCGAACAAACCACCACCACCACAGTAAAATGATAACTTCCCCAGGACCTTCCGAACCTTGAACGATGCCGAGTTGGGATATTGTGGGAGTCGGTGATACAGTCTCCCCTGCCCGGCGCCGTGAACGATGGTCACGCCGGATGGCAGCTGCTTGGACATCGCCCTGGCCTTGGAGGAATCATCTTGCGAGTCCTTTCCGCCTTTGTGGAATCTAGCAGCCACATAAGAGTAGTCTGCACCAGTTGCGCTTTGCGCTGCTTCGGGCACTAGATGGATCAGAATGTGAGGCGATTGGATGGGTCTTCAGGGGAGAAGAGGGAGCTACAGTCCGGAAAGCCTGCGAGCTTTGTTGGGTGGGCAGAATTGGCGTTCCCAGCACGACATGGGGTTGGCTAATTGGCTTCCCAAATAAGCTCCTAGCCGTATCAAGTTGTCGTAGTTTCTCTGGCGATGTAGGCTGTGTTCCGGACCTCTCGTTGGCAGTCGATAGGCCAGCATCTCCTTCGCTTCTCTTTGCGGGATTTCTCTCGGGTGAGGATGGATGGACTGCGATATTCCGCAGAGTCTGAAGCACGAATTTGGATCTAGAATGCTGCATTCAATTAGGTCTGAGCTCCCTAAACGAAGAGGGTAGAACTTACGTGGGAAACTCGTTGGTTACGGCAGTCTAAACATTGCTTAGTAGGGGGAGCAGACTGCCTCTTTGCCGTGAAGTAGCTCTCTGGCTTGCCCTCGCCACACCGAGCACAAACGAAGAGCAAATCATTAGAAGCTCTTCAGTGTGAAGACCGTCACTCATTACTTAATCAATGAGCCCATATCGAGATGTAGAGTCAGAAAACAAAATTGAGGGCAGAGACGAACTGCCAGCTTTGGCAGTTCCATCTTCAGGGGTCGGACCCACTCTTTTAGAGCTATCAGCCAGTTGCGCGTAGTTTTGGCCGCGGACCAATCAGAGCCCAAGAAACTTATTTACCCCTGTCTGCACCAAACCCTCATTACAGGAGAGGCAACCCCACGCGGGTTGCGCAAGAAGCCTTGAGGAACGAAAGTTTAAGGAGGCAGGGATAAAAGAAAAAAAAAAACACGTATTGAAGAGTGCGCGATGACATGAGGCCTCGCTGAAAGGTATTTGCAAGCCTTTCCATGTCGGAAATAGTCTCTGGTGACACCTGGTGACCCACCAACTTCTGATAGTGGCATTGCATTGGGGGTCGTTTATTGGCAACGGTGCCTAGGGTATCCCTGCTGCACGACAGGTGGGATAAAAAGCAATGAGAATTGTAAGGGTGGATGGGAGGAAGATTAGATAGACCTTGGTAATTTGATCACGCCTTCCTTTTCTCAACACATATTTACTAAGGCATTTGAGGGTCTGAGTGTACATCATGGCAACCTCTACGGTCCGACTCGAGTTCATGTGCCAGTTCGGAGAGAAGCAATTCACACACAACCGCAGCATCGCCCGGAGCCTTATCAGTGAGGTGAATCGTGCCGGGCAAGATGGCGAATACAACGAACGATTTTCCCAGGCCATGATGCCTCTCATGAAGCAGCATGACGGGGCGTGCTGAAATTCGTCTGGGGCCTTTTGCGAAATTTGCGGGCAATTTGCGACAGATATCCTACAGAGCCCAATATCTTTGTTGCCCACGCATCAGCCTCGCATTATGGTTTGGGTAACGTCTTTATGTGACGTCTTTATGTGGAAGAGGGCAGTGCGAGATCGAGGTGCGACAGGAGATGCAAACGATGATGCAGGAAATGCGGCAAGAGGATGAGGTTCTCGATGACTTCTCAGGACAGGCTGGCTGCATGGAGCTCAAGCTGTGCAAAGTATGTGGTACGACTGTAGGAGCGAAGTGCTGCAGTAGATGCCAAGCAGTAGCATACTGCGGCAAAGAACACCAAAAGGCGGACTGGAAGGCCCATAAAAAGGCGTGTGTGCCCAGAGAAGATCAGCAGACAAGGAGAGCCTGGAGATAATGTATGTAGGCGTAGGCGCTGAAGTACTCACCGGCGCAGGGAGTGAGAAGGTGACAGGATCAGAAATTGTGGATGGCGTGCTGGAACAGACAAGCCGGGTTCATTTTTGTGGCTAGATAACCAGGCGGGTTTCGAATTTGCTTATATTTTTTCTTCCTTTTCACATGAGAAGTTTATCAGATTGTTCCGTCTGAATTTTCTTTCGTTTTCGACATGGATGGTTTGGTGAGTTTTCTGTTGAGGAGTAAAATGTATGAGAGAGCCTGGAGATAATGTATGTAGGTGTAGGCGCTGAAGTACTCACCGGCGCAGGGAGAGAGACTAAGTGGTGCAAGTGAAAGCCCTAGGGGGAGAAGGTTCGTTGCTAGCTGTACGTGGGCGAGGAAGAAAGACAAGACGTGTGCTGTCAAATGACCTCACGGCGTGTACGCTCGGGAAGGGGGATGATAGCATCATGCTTAGTCCGAGGATCAGGTTGATGCTCGAAATGGCCCTTTACGTCATGGGTGAGTTACGAGCCAGGGTGAACCTGGCAAATATTGCTGGGACCGACGAGCAAAGGCGGGAACATGGTGTTTGAACAGCTTAAAAAGTATGGCCTGGAGAGTGCAAGCATGCAGGTTGGCAGGGCCTTGTCAATGTGTGCTGGAGGTCCATGTTAGGAAAAAGCAATGACGACACCATCTTCTTTTCAGCAGAGTAGTTGTCAGGGCTCGATGGGACGTCGCGAGGAATGTTGTGGCGTTGGAAGGACTGCTGCCGACAAAGTTGGGGTGACAAGTTGTATACACAGACTGGCCAAAACTGCGATACGGACGCAAGGGCAGGGTGATGGGGAATACAGGGAATCATTAGCTTATCGGCCCAGTACTGCAGGAAAGCATGACATAGTCTGAAGGAAATACCATAGTATGAGAGAAGTCATCCATGGGCAAGTTTCCCATATCCAAGAAGCGCGTGTCAACAGGCGAGATAGTCCAAGTGGCGAAGCTCCGGAGCCAAACATATACTATCCGTCAGGAGTACTCGACGTTGAAGTGACAACAGCACGGTGGAGAATCTTGGCTATGAGATGTACATGGTGGAGCGGCGATGACAAGTTAGGTTGCGGAGATGGCAAATACTGTCGACGGCCACACTGCCCCAAATCAGCAACTGAGGAGACGGCCGAGATACGAGAGACTGGCAGATACGACGTCCACGTTTCGATCCATCCAGCCCAAGCAATCAGCCATTGAAGAGGCTTGAAGACATGAGCAGGCGGAAGCAATTGTGAGGGCGCTGCCCAAGCTACGTCGGCGAGGACCGCCGCCGCGAAAGCGAATACCACAGCCCAGCGATGCCTCGAGCACAGGAGGTTTTCCCAGTAAGCTTGTCTGGTCACGAGAGACGGAGAGTGCGTCAGGAGATGCGCATTTAGCTGGAGTGTCGTCGCCAAAGCCACTAGTTCAGACTGCTTGTGAAGAAGCAGACCAACGACCATGGAAAGACGACGTCGTGGAGCGGAGGCGGCCGCAGCGGCAGGGAAAGGAAAATCGGCATCCTGGGCGAGATGAATCTCCAAGGAAGCGAAGTCGACGTGGAACTCGAGGTCAGAGGAGGCGGGAGTTGCAGGCCGAGGACTTGACGAGCGTGTTGGGTTACTTAGAGGAGGAATTTGCCGTGAAGGAGAGCCTGTCGGAAGAGCAGATGTGGTGTACGCCAATACCACATGAGAGAAAGATCTCGACTGCAGAAGATTTCTATAGAGCGTTCCACGATACGAGCAACTTGCAGTTATGGACGTGTATGCTGTGCTACCGCAAGCGCACGAAAAAGGAGTTGAGAGATGTTAAATTGGAACCATGGAAGTTGAACGGTATTGCAAATAACGGCCGGTCGCCGTTTTCATGTCGGAGCTGCATGCCTGAGGGCGAGAGTGTCCTAGTCTGCGCGGAGTGCGAACATTGTTTGGGGCGCGACGCCCTGTCACCTGCGGCCCGGCTCCATAGACGTATTGGGCGTGAGCATATGTTCCCCGAAGAGCTGACTCCAGTGGAGGAGAAACTTATCGCGCTGAACTCATGTTACGGGTTCCTCACAAGATACAGCGTTGCGAGCGGCCATAAGCAAAATGCCATTTACCCAAAGCACATCAAGGGCCACATCACAGTGTTCCCGAACAATGTGCAGGAGCTGGCCACAAAGGTACTTCCCCATCCGCTCATGCAAGTCATGGAAGAGATCCATATCTCGTGGCAAGGCGCGGAGAAGCCAGCACCAAGCGACCTGTCGGGGCTTTTGTCGGTCAGGCGACGAGTCGTTGAGAGGGCACTCGTCTGGCTGAAGATGAACAACCCGCATTACGCCGAGATTGAGATTGATGCGGCGGAAATGGAAAGCTGGGGCGCACCGCCGTATGGGGTGCCGTCCCTGGTGTACGATTGCATGGAACGGAATGAGCCAACGGCATGGGAAAAGGCACGAACGGCGCAAGTTGTTCCCCCAACAGAGCGTGGTATGGACGAAGAGGATTCGTTAGAGATCAAGGAGGTCCTCGCGCGCCTTAATCGAGGAGAAGACGGAGACGATGGCAGGACAGAAGGGCCAGGATTGAGTGAAGACGAAGGTGGCCTCTGGAACGAGGCCGAGTCTGGCCAATCGGGAAAACCGATCAACGAAGTTACTTCGTCCGCTATGTTTGCGCTGAATGGACCGCCAGATGTTCACGATATGGAAAAGGTTTTGTTTGCCTGCAACGTTGTGAACGGAGATGCGGCCGGGAGAGCCAAGGCAGGCCCGACAACACGAGTGGAATCGGTAGAGCGACGGACGGGGCTCGTCAACAGCTGTGAGCCATATATTCACGTTCATCGCGGTGAGGAATTCGCCGACTCGTTTGACGCCTCGTTCTTCGCGAAGACCTTTCCCACGCTATTACCGTTTGGTATTGGAGGCCCACGTTTGGCGGAAGAAGCCACCCCCAGCGCGGGAACAGGTAGTGATATTCGTGGAGTAGAGGCAGCGGCGCAAGATCTCGTCTCATCCCGTAACATGAGTCTGCGAGCGTGGGCCGATATCATGCTCCGGCGCCATGGGGGCCGATTTGCGACGCACCATATTTTTGCTTTCCTTGTGTTTAACATAAGCGTACGATCGAAAAACCGTCGGGTCAGTATGTTCACTCAACGACCAAAATGGAAGTGCCCGAGCTGTGGATCAGCGGGAAATCCATGTCATTGCTACGTGCCTTTACGCGCATCGACCACGGTGGAACAGAAAGAGTACAAGGGGTGCTCCAGCTGATCTCGTCTTGCTATTTATTGATTAATTAGTCTATCTGGATTCGATAAGAAAGTTTTCTGTAGGTGCACCGAAGTTTTGGTGTCGCTGAACCCTGTTCAATCTTTGCTACGTGTTAGCGCTTCGAACAGCAAATCCACCCATCCGCTCTTTCAACCTCCCACCTCAAATCCACCTCTGATTTATACATATTTCCCTGCTCCCAGCTTAGAGCGCCTATACTTATTTGGTAAGAACCTATCATCTGTCGTCAGTTAAGCCATGCGAACGTCTTTTTATGCATGCCTATGGACTCCAGAGACCCAGGGCAGAAAATCTCTACTTTTTGTGTGCATCTGGCGTTGAAACTTGTTGGCTTGAGAGTGTTGGCTTGAGAGTGTTGGCTTGAGAGGTCCATATGGCTCCTGCGCCAGGCTTTGGCGTGCAAGCCTGGCATTTATCCAACAGGGGGATCTATTCTTGGGAAATGGCCTCTCGCGGATGTCCCACTACGATTAATTCAGCACCACCCGCTCGCGGGCAAGTATTGCTAGTGGCGGTTACTGGGCCAACCCCTCCCCGCCGAAGTTGGTCGCTACTTCTACGCCCAACTATTAATGGACCACTTCCTTTCACCACCAAAAAATGATGCCGAATCTCAAGTGGGATCTTATGCCCACGCATCAACATGATGGACGATGATGCGGCATCTTGGATTTTAAGATGGCGCTCATCTACTCCTGAATACCTTAATATCAGCACAGAGAAATTCAACAACCGCAACCACAACAATCCCCCGGCAGCGAAGCGGGCGCGCCTCGACAGGGAGCTCAACACAACCGACACGAAACAATTTGATCAAGGGTTCCGAGACTATTTGCCCACTCCTTCCGTCTCTACATCGGCTTCCAAATCTGCGCCCATGGCTAGTTCACCAGTTAAACGCCTACGGGACGAGAGCCTCGACGAACAGCTATCTTCCGACTTGACGCCACGACCAAATCGGACTATCTCTACGGACGACCAAGACAGCTTCAGCACTACATCCGCATCCTCTTCGAGAGTATCCAAAATATCCAAATATTCACGTAATTCATCCCCGACGAAGCAGATTCTCCATGCCGAGTTACAGCCCACAGGCTTTGGCCAATCCAGTTTTGCGTTCGATCCTCAGCCTCCATCACTTCAGTTGCTTTCCCGCAAATTGAGAAAGACCTATCTTGGAGATGGTATTTTGCCATTAGGTCTAGTGGATGAGGTGCGTCTAGCATTCTACAACGCCCAAATCCCTACTTACATGTCCTAGTTCGCGGCTTTCGATCTCCCGCCTTTCTTCTTTAGTGACGATCTGAGTGCTTGTCAGCGGTGGCCCAAAGCTGATTTTATCGACGACATTATGAAGAGCGCCAGTGAATGTGAACTCGAAGGAAAAGGAGAGTCATCCTGGAATATGGTCCACGGGCGAATATTTCAATGGCTATCGGAGAGTAATGACAACGAAAAGGGCTCCCTTTCGTCCGAATATTGGTGAGACTATGCACTTTGCCCTTTTGCGGGAACCACCTGAACTGAAATGCCTTAGCACCAATGCTGCTTTGCTTCCGGAGTATAAACCGAAAGACGTACCTAGCAAGATGGTCGATTGGTGCCTAACCATTCGCCCAAACCGATCCGACCAAAGAATTATTGACGAAATTCGGAGAATACGCCCGGGCGACTCGATCAATCAGACAGATTGCGGATTATTGCGAAAGCACCCAATAGCAGGATCGATCGAAGTGAAGCGTCAAGGCGAACAATATGATGCCGCTGTGCTCCAAATCGGCACTTGGCATTCGGCTCAGTGGAGGAGCTTGCGCTGGGGAAGAAATGCGGATGATGAATCTCTGCCCAGTATCAAGTTTCTTTCTGGCTACATCATCTATGGGCACGACTGGCAGTTCATACCGTCTGTCCTTGATGAGGAGGGTGTTTCCAGGCTCGTACGACCTGCATTACAAATTGGAGATACGCGTACCGTGCCCGGAATTTTGAAGCTTTTTGCCTCCCTTCAGGTACTAAAGGAGGATGCAGAAGAAACTTTCTGGCCAGCCTTCAGGGCTGATGTCCTGGGAATATCTGCTTAGGCGAAGAATTACACTTAACATTCCCCGGTAGCTCAACATCTAACGACCGCTGGGCCGCCCATCAACCCCCACCGCACTGGGCAGGTCACAAGGCCTTGTTATTACCACGCGGCGGTTGGGGCTCAATCATGATATGCATTTATCCATGAATAACTCGAATTGTGAGATGGCAAAGTCAAATCTGGAACCCCAGTGAAGAACTCGCAGGGGGCCATCATGACCATGGGGAGAGTGTCCTGGATCGCTCTTTTATGGTCCCTTTACACAGCAACCGGGCGAAGAAACTTCGTACCAGGCACACGGGGGGCACTTAGTATCGATGTATGGTGCGATACGCTACACTGGCCGTCTATCCTTCTTACAGACATTGGGGTTTCTTAGTAAGTAAGTAAGAAGTGTGTAGCAATGTTGGATTGATTGAAGTAAGTATTGATGACGAGGTGAAAGATTGGAATATTGGAATGCCATTATGGACTGGTGGAGGGGCCAGTGTGGTTACTGCGCCCGGCAAGGGTTGCGCAAGCGCTACATCTGCGTAATTGTGAGCAAGGGGGCAAATCACAACTAGCCAGATGTCTAGGTGAAGCCATCCACGGAGAAAGCTTCCGAGCATTCCGAGGATGTGAAGATTGTGGTTGAGGCAATGGAGGAGCATGGCTATATCGCGGGTGACGGAGAGGATGTGGCAGCTTGGCTTGGGCGGGAAATTATTACTGAAACTGAGGTACGGAGCTCTGAAATCATGAGACAGTTGGCAGAATGTACGCAGATAGATCGACCTGACACCGGCAGTAACCTTGCTGGCATTAAATAGGGAACAAAAGCTAGGCATTAAACCAGCCAACAACTCTCAGGACTCACGACAAGCAGTGTCGGCGACTTGGATGGCTAGGCAATAGTACCAAGCTGTCACCATAGTCATCGTATTCCGACATGCGAAATGCACCGGATTTATCATGCCTGCCGTTGTACTGAGAAGCTGGCTACATAAGAAGAGACTGCACAGGCGTTCACGGCAAAGACAATATCCGATGCATCCCGTGGCATCCGCATATCTTCACATTGCCATGGCTTTTATCTACAAGCACCACCCGCAATTGCACGAGAGTTTCTGGGTGGCCTCTGTTCTCCCCTAGACTCGGCAAAAAGCGAGTCTCAGGTACACAGAGAACAAAACTCGAGGTAGTGACTTACGGGGCGTAATTTTGGAGCAGAAAGGAAGGATGGAGCGGCGGTCCCGGCAAGCGGGGCCGTGCCGTGTCGTGTTGGGGCGGGGGATTTCGCATGAAAAAGGATGACAAACGATGTTGATTGGACGGGATCAGCATGGGTACGCTTTTTGGAACAAACACTGCATATCGAGCCGCTACAGATCATATGTACTATGTATATTTTCCGTCCAGCGGCCATTGGCCACTCAGGTCCCCTAACGGGGCACAGGACGTGTTAGGCTAGTGGCTAAATTTTGCTACGTGAGACTACGTAAACAAAACACTATCTAACATGGCATCAGCTCAAAGGCGCTCGCAGTCTACTCTGTTAACCCGTCAGCGGGTTGTGCAGGTGTTGGTATCTACTAGACCGGCTCGGTCTGTGGTGAGTAGCAGCCAGAAGAGGCGTGCGCGGACAAAAGGTGTTGAGACCACCTTCCGCCTGTCGCCGCCGGAGAAGATGAAACAAAGGAAAGGGAGCACGACAGTGCTGTGATGAATGATTCATCTAGTGGTGCGGGCAGATCTTCTCGAAGAAAGAGCTTGCCTTCACCAGTTTGACGAATTTGTCGAAATCTTTGCCTATTGCCTGGTTGATCGCC